TTCTAATTATTTCAATGTGTATGAAAGTGAACATGATGTAGAATGAACAACCTAAGCGGTTGAAAAAGAACCTAAAAATTCACGCCTGAGCAGGATTCCAACCCTGACCTTTGGGATGACAGGACACAACGTTCTATCCATTGAGCTAATCAGAGAAAGACCGTTGCGTCCCGTCATCGCAAAAGTCAGGGTTCGATTCCAGCTCAAGCCTGAATTTTTTCAGGTTCTTTTCCAACCGCTTCGGTTGTTCATTCTGCTGTTAAGATCATGTTCACTTTCATATCTTTATCTGCAATTCAAAATATGATTCATTTCACATATTTCAATTCGTCTCTTCCAATGTGGTTAACGCAGGAGCGCACAATTTGCGTCTGGAAGAAATTTTTGTATTCGCCACATGTTTCCTGCACGCCTAAACTGATTGCTGTCAAATTTGAACCAACGGTAGCTTGTTTCTTGGAAACGAAATGTTCGCCTGTAGCATTTTTTTTTCGCAAAGAAGCTCTTCTGGATAAAGTCCAACTTAACATTTAGACGTTTTGGCAAATAGGGCCAATGATAGCTCGACATCACTTCGATAATCAATAACCTACTTGGAAACGTTTCTTCTAGGGGAAAGTTTCGACGATTTGTCAACAAACTTTTCATGATGAAACCATCAGTGGTAGTCCTGTCTACGATCGCCATTTTTGGTCTTCTCTGGTAAGTCTGCGTGGCATATCTGGAGTTAGCCAGCGAAAACAGCCGTCTCTCCTCCCTCCTCGCCGCTTGGAACGTTTTGCCATGAGGGACGTCTGCGCCTCAGCGACAGAAATTCCACAGTGATGACGTAAAATCTGGTGGGAATATGGTCAGAAGCACTTACTGATCGACGTAGTGGTTATATTGTTTTCGCTATTGTTTACGTACGACAGACAAAAGACAAAAGGCCACAAAGGTAAAATGTAAATCATTGAATCTACAACAAAACAATCAATATTCGTTCTATATATGCTTCTTTGAAGAGGCATTTGAGTTTTGCTATAGCTCGTTCGCAGAAGGCCACGAAACTTTACTTGATAATCGACCAGGAGAAATCGAACAAATTTACATTGGGGAATCCATGACTATCGGATTAATTATGTAAACATTGATTTACATAGTCAGTGTTGAATTTCTGTCGCTGAGGTGCAGACGTCCCTCCTGGTGAAACCTCTCAAGCGGCGAGGAGCGAGGCGAGACGAGTGTTTTCGCAGGATAATCTGGAATGGGAATCATGAAACTGGCTGCTCTCCTGGCTGCTCTCCTAACCATCAAACGTCAACTTTTTTTAGGCTGGGAAAGATCTCCATAGGAAAGTTGTCTGGGAAACGCAAGCACGAGTGGAAGCAAGCAAAGCAAATCCATCAAACAGGTGAAGTGTCCAGGAATTTGTGTCACTTATAATTTACAGTCGGCGCAGTTGGTAAGACATCAATCTGTCTACAGACGGACCAGGGACGGAACACCAAGAGGTCTTACAGTACAAAGAGCTCAACCGGGTTAATTTTTAGTGATGTTAGGTGGGTACGGTTGAGCTCGTTGCAATGTCAAACGATAACACTTAGAATGCCATGCATGTTCTACGCACAGGCTATTTCTCAAGCGATTTTGCTGCGATTTCGTGGCGATATTGTGGCGATTCCTTTCTGATTTTATCTGTTGCGCCTTCCAATCTTTATGTAGTAGTTTATTAACTTGAGGTGCATCTGATGTGAACAATATTCATCAAGGTAGGTTTTTGGGAAGACCACGAAGGAGTATAATAAACCTATAAATCGCGCGGAAATCCAGGAGTGAAACTGAGGAACGTACAGCATGAGTTAAACATTTTTCTACGTTCTTCTAGCACCTGACTATCTGACTGTGACAGATCAAGGCTCTCATGAAATCACCGATGTGAAGAATCCTGGAGGAGCCTTGATACAAGCAGTTGGAGATGGAGAAAACGATGACACCTCTGCTATCCAAGCCATCCTCGACCAAGCAGCAGGTTCCACTCATAACAAGGTTTTCTTTCCTCCTGGCGAATACTTGATCAGCCGAGACATTGTCATACAAAACTCTGTGGAACTCCACGGAACAGAGATCGGTATTGCGGTCATCAAGGCGTCGACTCCCTATGCCAGGAAATTGTACAATGCTTTACCAGTACAATCGGTCATATTGAAGAATTTGTACCTCGATGGAATTCTTGTGAATTTTGATGGTGGGAACAATGCTAAGCCTACAAAGAATATCACAGTTTTTAATTGTGTATTCTTTTCTACGGCGAGTCCCAGCGCCAACAACTTAAGCGATGGACAATTGACCTTCAGGCGTCTTAGAGACGGTGCAGTGGACAAATGCATCTTCTTACGCGGCCCGCATGCATTCGGTGTGGCCTCCAAATTCTTTCGAACAAAACGTGTTCAAATTCGCAACAACGTTTTTGGCCTTGATTTGAGCAAGGTAGACTGGCTGTCAACCGAACTTGAGCCAGGGCAACACTGGACTGAACAAAAACAAAAACTTCAATTCCTTCAGAATAGCTATCATCTTGCAGATGACCAAGGCTTCTTTAAATGCTCTCTTTATGACGCTTACGATGAAGAAATGCGTATAAGTCAAAATGTTTTCAACGGAAGTCCCAATACTGGCTCTCTTCACAAAGACCACGCGATGTATCTCAAAGGGTTCGACGGGGTGGAAGTTGCTGCTAACTATGTCCGAGGTTGGCCAGCTGATCCCTCAGGAGGCATCAAAGCGCGAAATGGCAAAAACCTTATCATTGCCCGCAATTATATCGATGACACGGGTATTCTGCTATACACTCACGATCCGCACGACACGAGTCTCCACCATGGACTGGAGAACGTTGTAACCTACGGGAATCACATTGTACAACGAAGCAACCCCGGGCATCGTGCAAGCGGCATAAGCTACTACGAGCGCCATTTTACTGGTGTGGATAAGAACCTCACGTATTCTGCTAATCAGTTTGAGATCGTTGACGTGAGTGACCCGACTAGTTATACATGCATCTGGCTGACCAATGGTGACCTGTCTCATCATCACGTGTACAAAGACAACGTGTATTACGGCACAACGACCAAAGTGAAGTTACAAGCTCGCCATGAAACTCCATCGTTTGAGACAGGAAACATCGATGTTTCTATTCCATCTCGCTACAGTTATCCCGTCTATGAGTTGAATATTCCACCTTATTAGTTCACGGGATGCTTTCAACCGCTAGAACGGGCCCTTGAACAGACGTTCTCTTTGCTCGTCATGCTGTTCGGGATGATTGCGTCACGACCAAAAAGGGTTTTTACGGGGTACTGTTGGTTGATTTTTTAACTCCTTTTTGCAATCTCTCAAATTTCACCTTCCTGCCGTTTAACCCTTCAAACCCTAACATCAAAATTCAAATTCTCATTTGTTATTGCTATACGTTTTCAATAGAAGTAGTGTGGAGAATCTGTTGGAGTATCAATGAGATTCATCTTCTGTGATCATGTCCTCAATTCTCATGAACACTCTGTTTTGTAAAGCAGTGATATTACAAGGAGAAATTTGATGCTGATCACTCTTAGGGCTTAAAGGGTTAAAGTTTTATAACTGACAGTTTATTGTGCAAAAAAAAAGGTCGACACGTTGATCTGATGTTGACACAGTTTCCAATTTTGTAGTTACTAATAAAATAAGAGGAAAACACAGGAAGCAAAACAAATGATAGTCAATTCAAAGCTTTACTTTATGTTTGATTCGTATCAAGACAGGGATAAGTGTGTTTTATATGGTTTGATGTTAATCATTTTGAAAGCTTTATTGAGTCAACTACTTTCTGGAAAAGTAAAGAATGACAAAAACAGGTGATAAGACTTGGGAGAGGTTTATTATTGAATAAATATACAGATAAAAGAATTGAGTGCATTTTTTTGCTGTACGGGAACGGAAATTCCACCCTCCCTTCAAAATTGTATACTAAAAGCTTTTCCGCCGCAACGCTATAATAGAACAGTCAGGTTTCAGAAATCGCTCTACGGATAAAATACATTTAAACGGTTTAAGAGGAAACAGAGACAATTTACATTCGTTATAAAACGCGTCACAGTTATTTCCTCTCTCATGCAAGAAAACTCCTTGCAAATTTCAGCCGTTGCGTTCAAAAAAGACCACTTTTTCCTACAGCGATATTCTGTTCATTGACTAGCCTGCGTAGCTGGCGGGATTAGCGTGGGAGTGCTGTTTGGGCGGCCGAGCCGCGGGAAGTCCATTTGGGATTTACCCGGGCACAAGAATCCTGCCAGCTACGCAGGCTATAGATTGACAACTGTGACACTTTCCTGAGTTGAGGTTTTAAGAAATGGCTCCGCCATTAAACTAGGAATTTTGTTGCCCCCAGGATTTTCCACCCTTACCATTTTTATTTATTTATTTCAGGGGTCTTATATTAACTTTGCAGCACATTTAGAGCCTTGTAAATTACTTTAACCGGCTGTTTTCATGGATAACAACCACAAAACAGGTAAAAGTCCTGAAAAGTTATCATATGCTATTTACCGTCACCAGAAATCAATCACGCCGAGGATTCCGGATTCCAGATCTTTGTCAGTGAAACTTGGATTTCACATTCCAAAGCCGGGATTCTGGATTTTACAAGCAAAATTTTCCAGGATTCTGGAATCCGAATTCCTTTACATGAGGCGAGAGACTATTGACAGCCCATTACAGCTAAATGCACAATAATACTTCCGCTTTTTCAGATGAACTGAATGTACGCTTCAATTCAAGTGAAGTACTGAGAACTTACATAATGAATTCGGAACAAGTGAACACCGATTGACATTACGTTTCCACTAACTTCACCAAGTTTACAGTGCTAAATACCAAGCGTAAACTGATACAATGTTGCACCATTTGAGGCCACATCTACAGGAACTGAAAACAAACCTAACCAACTGACATCAAATTTTAGATCTCTTTTCTATCCGCGAAGCAACCTACCTCGATTAAAATCACTTTCTGCGGCTCTCTACCGCCTCTCCACAATCAACAGTCAAATTAGGTTGCATCTACACTTGGTGCCCGGGCACGGTGGCCGAGAACGGTGCTCAGTGGGCGCTAAAATAAACACACCGGTTCCGGTGCCCAGCGTACAAGGTTTACAACGTCGGGCACTCATGAGGGCGCCGGGTTCCAGGATGCCCACCGCTTTTGTTGATTCCCGGGCAATTCACTACTTTGCACTCCTTGCAACGCTCACGTTTCAAAATGGAGTCTGACAGGATGAGATGTGCCGAATATGTACACAGCTACATATGAGTATCCAGTGTGTGTACACAACCCCATTTTGTCCTGGTACTCAGGCACTAATGCTCGGGCACCAAGTATAAACAGCGCTTTAGGGAGCGTTAAGACCAGGTGGCTGAGCACGGTGCCGGGTACTAATGTGAACACACACTTTTTTCAGTATCCTCGCTAGAATTCGAGCACGGTGCCGGAAACCAAGACTCGGACCCAAAAGTGGTAAACCGGCGTCTGACAGGGCGAAATGGAGAACCTATGTACACAGTCACATATCGGTTCTCAAGTTGTGAACACAACACTATTTTGTGCTAGTACCCAGGCATTTGTTCCCGGGCACCAAGTGTGGACAACCCCTTAGCTACCTCAACTGTCAAACAAAAGATTGAGTCATAAAAAGGTCACATGGAAAGTAAAATCAAAACATACCGTATACGAGCAATTGGCTTTCGACCACGTGGAAGACTGCTTTATTCAGTTCGATATCCAGACAGCGAGAAGTAGGTTGCAGAAACGAGGTGTGGGGAATTCTTTCAACAATAACTTTGATTTTTAGAGCATGTATCTGGATGTCGGGTGAAACAGTCTCTTGAGAGCCTGATATATGTTCCAATAAATCTTGAACATATTCAAACAAAAAGTTCAAATACTTATAAAAGAATAAGGTTTTATCTTCAAAATAAAAAAAAGTAGAGACGACATGTAACGAATGCTTTAAAAAAATAACTGGAGTTACCACAGAAAATATCGACTTTTACAAATCAGATGGAAAGTCAAGAATGATGCTACTTTCCATTATGAGATATTATAACAATGCAGCATCGTCTGTTTTTATAGTCTTTTCTTGACGTTTCTTTAAAATATTTTTAGTTGATGTGCAGTCTATTATAACCTTGAAGGGGAGGAAGCGAAAAAGGGAGGGAATTGGGGAGAGAAGGAAAAAGACCTTACCTCCCTTCCCCTTTCGCGCTTTTCTCCCTCTTCCCCACCCTCTCCCCACCTCTTTTTGCGCCTGTCACGCAAGCTACCTCGATCTTACCTAAGTCCAGGGTTCGCACAAACTTTTGGATCCAAAATTCAAGACTTTTGCCAGACTTTTTCCAAAACAATAATTTTTTTTCCAGACTCAAGGTTATCAAATAGGTGATCAGTAGATCTTTAAAAAAAACCCACAGGAACAAAGCTTTTTTCATGATGCGCAGCAAACGTACGGGCGAGACTGAATAAGATTTAAGCAAAACGAAAAAAAAAATTCCCTTATAAAGCACTTGCTGCAGCTTAAAAAAAACTCACACTTTTTACAATTTTTCAAGACTTTAACTCAATTTTCCAGACTCTTTCCAGGTCTGGATAATTGCTGGGCAAATTTACAGATTTTTTCAAGAATTTTGGACTCTGAAAGAACCCTGCCTTTGCGCATGGATCTAGCGACTAGGATTAAAAAGCAAGAACAATCCCGTAAAATCCACAAAAACAGCACTTACACATCAAGGTAAGATTATGCGTTGACCAATTTAAAAACGTTAAGATCTGTAAAATGCTGGTACCATATTTCTAAGCTTCTTGTGCAGAACTTAAGTACGGCTCGGGGCTATGATAATCACTGAGAGCATTTACAGTCCTGGAGTCATGGGGCAGTTCAGATTTCCGCCGTACAAACTTTTTGTTCGCTGGCCTTTTTCCAGGCACATCCTAAAAAGAACATCAAAAATCCTTAACTTTAACAGAACAATGGAAAGAAAAAAAACTCCTAAAATACAACGCTCTGAATAGGTATGAGCCGGGCAGCAGGGATGGCGAAGTGGTGAGGGCATTTCACCCTCTACCAATGTGGCCTGGATCTGAGTCTCGGCGTCGACGCCGACATCGTATGTGCGTCGAGTTTGTTGTTAGTTCTCGCCTTTGCCCCGAAAGGGTTTTTCCCCAGGCCTGGTTTTCCCATCCCCTCGAACACCTTTTATTCCAAATTCTAATTCGATCAGAGCTGATCTGGAAGATGTCTCCCATTAGAAGGTCACATTTTTGTCAGTTCTTCCTTTAAGTGTCGTTTGTCCGGTTTGGTATTATAACGTTAGTTTGATCCCTCCAGCATGGACTACCTATAATGCTTATTGCTTTTCAAATAGCCCAAGACTGTTGCTGGGAGGCGAATTTACTGGACTACTACAGCGAGCAAGAATAATCGCATCGGTAAAAGGAAAAAATAATTTAACTTCTGCGAAACATGGCGCGGAATAAAATGTATTAGCAAAGAATTTTTAGTTACCGAGTTCTGTACTCTTTGAAGATCCACGTTTCCTTCTTCAACTCCTTCCATGTCACCAGATGTAAAGTCCATTGAAGAGTCCAGCAATTTATTACTGTCTTCTCCCTGGGCCAATCGGGCAATCTTAACATACTGTGAAAATTGATTCAAACAAGTTAAAACCAACCCTTCGACGGACGACTTTTTCAACTTTTGACTGGGACCACCAGTCAGCAAAAATCCGTCAACACGACTGAAAAGAACACCTTAAAATCAGTGAAGTTGCCAAGTTTGAAAGGGATTGTTAAAAACTAATCAAGATATTTCTCCACAAAGTCGCCAAATTTTACAAGCATTTGTAAGGCGAGTGGCAAGTTCAAGCCTCCACCATACAAATGTCTGTAAAATTTAGCAACTTGATGTCGCAATATCTTCGCTCGCTTTAGTCGTATCGCCTTTAGAGTGATTTTGACCCGTGAAATAGGTAGTAGAATACTACGCACTATTATGCACTAACTTGGCACTAATTGTATCGTCTTCTTTTGTTTACCTCTTGCTATTTTTTCACTATTTGTTAGTATCTGTTTCACGGTTCAAGTAAAATCACTCTAACTTCAGAAGTTACTAATTTAAGGCGCACTTTCTCGTAGTGTTGATGGCTATTTGCTTACAGGTTATTTTGCAACAGACGACAGGAAACATTTCACTGCCTGATTATAGTCTTAAATAACAAAACTGGACCATTATTTTTGGAATTCAATTGATGTGAAGACCTATTCTAGAGTTTTAAAAAGATTAAATGGAACGCGCTATATCACTTGCACGCGAGACACCCATGAAAAAAACCGGTATTAAACCTTGAAGAATTTTATAAGGAACTAAAATAATAGGAAAGTTCAACTCATTGTTCTACTCACATTCGGGTTTTTACGTGCTAGCTCATCTATCTTCATCCACGCCTCTTCCCTTTCTTTTAGCTTGTCTCTTTCCCTAAGGAACGTACCGAAGTTAGACCGCATCTCATACGCATCTAATGTTATGTGCATAACATAGGGCGCTTAACAAAAGTCAGAAGTGGTCAGACCGGACGTTTTGAAAATGAAGTTGGCTTTCTTTGAAGATTTTTCGAAAAATCTCTCACTGCTGTGCGTACTATACAGTCAAAACACATTAACACCGACAGTGAGGGGGCATAGAAAGTGTCCGTATTAACGGAATGTCAGTATTAAGCGGGTTGAATTAAGAAAAAAAGCAAAGGACAAAGCAAACTGTCCGTAATCATGAGGTGTCCGCAAAGCGGGCTTTGACTGTATTTAGGAATAGACTGACCTGGCTGCATGTTCCTATGATTAGTTAACTAGTAATAACCAAAGGTTACGAAATGCGGGCGACAACGATCGAAGGTCAAAACGCTTTCGCTCCATCGCTGTGCTTTGCGTAAGTTTCACGTGACAAATAGTCAAAAATACGCGCGATCACATTAGGAGTGATACAAACGCTCGTGATCAAATTGAGCTATGTGCATTCCTTTCGTTCTTTGAGGAAGTCCAAATGAATGCTGGCTACATACATGTGACGCATGCGTATTAAAAACCTGGAGATTAGGACTGCGGGCTCCTCTTGTCGCCCGCAATTAACCCCGCATTTCGCCTCTTGAATACCGCAAATCGGACTGCCAAAGGCTCGTACTATTTAAGACATTTTTAGCCAAAGAACGCTGCTTGATATGTTAATATGATCTATCCTGGCTGCTTCCCCGGATATTTTTTCAAGTCCTAATTAGCCGTCGAATTCTCGTTATGACTGACTATCTTACCAACCGTCCACTATACCTTTGTCTTTCCTGTTTATATTTTTGAGAACACTCATCAAAAAGCTTTTGATTCATCTCCATAAAGAGCTTCAGTGCGTTATATATGAGACCATGAATTGTCCTAAAAGAATATAAATGTGTTAACTTATGCGTTAACTATCCCCTCGCCCCCTCCTCCATAGTTTTCTGTTTTGGTTAGCTTTCGCGCAGCTGTATTTCTCTTACTTCAAGAATCACAAAAGAAAAAAACCTTAGCTACGCAGGCTACACACAAACAAGACAAGTGTCCATAAATCGGAAACTAAGCAGGCTAACTTTCATTAACATCTCCTCAGCTATGTGGGTACTAATCAAAGTGCAGTGAATATTTGAACAAGTTGAACAGACTTGCTCACAGTAACTTAAGACTGAAAGGACGAAGGTTAGCTACCAAGTGGTAGAGAATTAGGAATTTTAATCGATGCTGAATACAAAAAGTGCAAAAATAGGAAGACAGAGACCACAATGATGTTTTAACAGCCCACTTTACAGTTACAGGTGAAAATGACAACCCTTCCTGCTTTGTTATATAAATCATGTTGTTCTTTATGTAACTAGTACTTTTCAGAATAATTTCCATAAGAAAAGGAAAGAGGTTCAGCGTATCAAGGCAAGGGCAACCTCAGCCTCATGTTCAGTCAAAGGCTAGGATACTAAGCCCACAACTGTATTCAATGGTCTATTGTGTCATTTATATCGAGAGTTGGGGCGACAAAATTTGCCACGTTCAAGTTAACAAAATGTGAATGCAGGTCAGTAAAGTAATAGATAAAACAATTAAAATTAGAGAGAGGCACAGTTTTACTTACTTATTCCAGTGGTTTTTGGAATGTTTGTATAAAGACGGGAACATTATAGGTACAATGACTCCAGCATTGTCACTCATTAAACTCATCACGTACTCATTATTCCAGTAGTACAAGGCACGTTCAGCAACCTGTCAATAAACCAAAATTTGTTAGAGCATATTACAAGCGTTTGTTACCAATTCCTTAATGGGCCTTGAAAAAAATAATTAATAATAACACCTATTTGCTAGCCTGAGAAAACAACCGACATTTCGCGTTTTCCACCACTGGTTTCCCTGCGAAATGATAGAGAGCTTTCGATTCTGAGACAAGGACGACTTCGAGGACGAGATTTCCTTAACACTGAGTAGTGCTCGCGCGTGAACCAGCGTCATTTTGGCGGGAAAACGTGGTAGCCGTCGTCATTCTACTACGAGTTTTAGAGTGAATGTCGTAGTGGCAGGAACAAGTTCAAACATTTTGTGACCGGGAAAGGGCGAAACTCTCTCCAATAAAAATAATCGCACTTACTTTTCAGGTGAAAAACAGTACAATGAAGGATTGACCATTTTTCGAGAATATGCGAAAACACTTTAAGTTAAATCTCGTACTCGTAGTAGCCGTCCTCGTCCTCAAATATAAAGCCCTTTGATGTCTCAGAAACGAACGCAGAAATTCCTTACAGAAGATGCAGATCTGGGTCGTGCTTCTGATTGGCTGAATCAATTTGTAGCCAATCAGATGCTTTACCCAGATCTTGGTAGCGACGCGTCATCGGTATAGAATTTCTGCACTCGTTTCTCAGATGTCATTTCGCCGGGAAACCAGTGGTAGCGTCGCCAAATGTCGGCTGTTTTCTCAGGTTACCTACTCGCTAAAATTCACTGAAAAACTTCTTTGTAGTTTCACCCACGAAAGGTACAAATGTAACTAACTCAGTTAATTTTCTTATGGAAAAAATGACACATCACCAAAAAACATTCTTCCCACAATCCAAATATTGCTTTTGAAAAGGATCACTTCAGGTTAATATTTTAATCACTTTAAAGATATAAAGTTAGCACTGTTACATCTATTTAAATAACCTACTTGAAAGTGTGGGCTGGAAATACATTTTGCCAGTTGCCGGAAAAGTGGCTCCAAGACTTTGGTGAATTCTGATGGCTCGATGACGTCAAGAATTTCTTCAAGCTCATTGAGGAACATCACCTGGAAATAAGTAATCCAAAAAATACTCTTTCAACATGGAATTTTAGAATCTCTTAAGCATGTGAGTCACATTCAAATATCCTGTAAGGGAACGAACTTCAGGATCTAGAAAATTAATTCAGCTTCATTAGAGACTCCAGGCTTTGTAATGTGGAAGGGGCCACAGGCTTTGAGCTTTGAGGTTATTCAGTGAAATGCAAGACACCAGTGAATGGAAGTTTTTCATTCAGAAAAAGTGACTTCTGATTCAGTGCAATATTCACCCTCTGCATTTCCTGGGGTTTAATTGGAAACAGAGGGAGAAGGAGACAGTACATTAAAGAGATACTCAGAGCCTGAATCCACATGCCCCCTCAATCAACTGGAGACAGCCCTGGAAATGACCTGTTTCTCGGCTCTTGCTGTCAAACTAATAAAACCATGAACACCTGAAATATTTTTGGAATGTTTATCGTGTTACGACTATTCACATTGAAGATCAGGGCATGCGAGCAGGCCACAAAGCCACAACCACTGCTGCTCCCAGTTTAGTATTCCCACACCTGATTGGCTCCTGCCTTGCAGCACAGTAACATTCAACAAATATTTCTGGTGCTCAGTTTATGGAGTTTCTCAGTAACTTTATCCCCTTGATACAGAGGGCTACTTTTTCATTGGCATGTTGCATTTTGTTACTGCCATTGAAGATTTTCAACTCTGAACTCTCCAACTTGAGCTCAGCCACTTCCTAGTAATACTAATTCAGAATACAAAAAACGCTCACCTCCTTTGGGCTGTGAACTTTTGGCCAGAATTTCATAAGTGACACGATCACCTTGACAAATAAAAGCAGCAAAATAATATAATGTTATGAGAAAGTTGTTTTTTACACCATTCGTACAAGTTTTTGAACCCAAAATTCAAGACTTTTTTCAGACTTTTTTCCAAAACAACTATTTCTTTTTCCATACTCAAGGTTATCAAATAGGTCAGAATGAAAAAAAAAAGAGGGAACACGGGTGCAGATTGAATAAGATTTGACTAAAACGAAAAAAAAAATCACATATGAAGCGCACTTGTTGTACATGTAGCTTTGAAAAAAATCAAGCCTTTTTGCCATTTTTCCAGATTTAATCTCCATTTTCCAGACTTTTTCAGGTCTGGAGAATTGCTGGGCAAATTTCAAGACCTTTTAAGGAATTCAATGCTCTGTACAAACCCCGTTTTTTCAGTCAGTTACGCTGGCATCTCAGAAGAAAAAAATCTGAGTTCTCTCAACAGGGTTCGAACCTATGACCTTCTGGTTTCTAGTTAGCCTGTGAGCAAGCTCTCCAGGGCACTCTGGCAGCAGGGCAGGAAAAGGAAAGAGAGATTGCAACTACGTCTCTGGGATTTGAAATCCACCTACAATTCCCCTGTGACTCCTCGTCAACTGAACTGTCAGATTTCCGCCAATCAGCGCAAAGTAGAAATGAGCGCGAATGTGAACAAACATTGAATAACACATGACATCATTACTAATGTCATCTCCACCAACCAGCGTTTCGCATTAACTTTCTCAATGCAGTTATTCAAATTCCAGAGATGTAGTTGCAAGCTCTCCTTCCTTTTCCCGCCCCGCTGCCAGAGCGACCCGGAGAGCTTGCTCCCAGGCTACACTGTAGCTACTAGTCCGGATGCTCCACCATTGAGCTACAGAAGACCCTTGGTAGCTAATGCCACTAAACTACTGTCGGTTGCATCTAAGCATGGACACGAGACAAATAGACATGTTTTAATAGGGTGCCAGACATAACGTGTTTTGGCATCGAACATCTGAAGTTTGACAGCGGTTAAAGCAAACTGTCATGCCAAAGGATTATGTTTTTGATCAGCCTGTTCCGCTCATGTCTCATTTTTCTCAACTTTCAGACATATTTCTTATCCAGAAACAGCACAGTTGCCTCCACAAATTATTCTTAAAGTCTAAAAACTGTTGCAAAGAATATTTTGTTAAGCAAAAACAAATCAAGTCAACAACAGCCACCTACTCCAAATTTCGAATGTTTGGCGGCAAAACATGTCATGTTTGCACAAAATTATAACCTGCTTTTTCCTCACGTGTACACGCTTAGATGCAACTGACAGTAGGTTCATATAACAAAGTTGATGTTTAAATTTCAAAAATGAAAGGAACTAAGCAGTAGTATTTGTCTTACCGGTTCTGTAAGAGTGGGGTCTTTTTCCAAGAATTGTACAATGCAATAAGCCAGCTGAAGAGAGAGAGAGAGCAAATTGATTTAAATGAAAAAATGACTACAATATTATAACTTGCCAATATACCTTCATGCATGGTTTTCAATGGCAACAATAATAAATTATATAATTTAATATAGAGTGACTTACACGAAAAGATCAAAGGTGTCATTACAATGTACAAAATCCAAGTGTAGGTAGGTAGGTAATGGTTTATTTAACAGTTCAAATTACAAGAGAAACAAGCTAGCCCCAAGAAACTTGGCTGGTTTCCACGGAGGGCGTGTTGACACAAAAAAATTGTGTATTAAATTGCTAAACTAATACCAAACTTTCTTATAATTCTACGTCTGTTGCTACACAGGAAGTCATAAATAGTTAGCTACTATTAGGATACACAGGTTGGCAAGACCCAACCATGATCTAATAAGCTTCTTAAATAAAGAGATTGACTCGGTGAGTTTTGCTTCTTTTGAGATCTGGTTCCAAAGCATAGTACCACTAAATTTAAAACTAGAAGAAACTAGAAACTCCCTTTTCAGTTTAGAAAGTGTCAGATCAGTAGCTGTGTTACATAGATGCAGATGGTAATTAGTCTGATTGACATTCCTTCTCACAAAAGAGTTCCTTGGTCCAGGGGCAGTGTGGTTATTCAATATTTTGTGCATTAAAACTGACTTTGCATAGCGCTGTCTATCATCAAGTGTTTGCCAAGAAAGAGAGTCAAAAGAGGGTGTAAAAAAAGTAACAGCAAAGATAAATTGAGAAATCAATACTACCAAACAACTGCATTCTCAATTATTGAAAAGCAACATATATGAGGCATAATTGTTTGCTAGTAACATTTCACATCTAAGAAGCACATAGTAAAAGACATAACTACCAAAAATTTGCTGTGGATGAAAAATTCTAATAAATGCAAGATATGTTATGAAGAAACATTAATTTTGTTCATCAAAGTGCCAGCAAGAGAAGGTTTGTGGAAAATTTATTCATAAACCAAGTTTTCCTCAGAGAAAACTTAGTATACTGTGTGAGAGAAAAAAGTATGAGAGAACCATGGACCATCAGCTGGTTAACATTTTAAGGCCAATACTTGGCTCTGAGGCTTAAGGAGGAAAAACGGCAAGAGAAATGAATGAGAATTTCTCTGCAATGTCTTCTATGTTTTTCCCCTGAGCCTCAGAGCCAAGTATTTATTTCAAAATATCAAAATTGTTAGGTTGAGTCATACCTGAGGATGGTACATGCTGAGTGCCTTAACTTTGTGTAGTGGCATCAGAACTTTCATGAGAAAGTGTTTATGTTCCTCTTTGAGAGGCAGTGCAAAGCCATTGATTATGCTGAAAGAAAACAATATATATATTAATTATATGTTTTAATGTTGTTACAATATGCAAAATTTCTTTAAATTTAGTAGTCTTTTAACCTTACATGTTATGATATATGCCACATTTCCTCGAATAACAGCTGAGGGCGATTATTATTATTTTTCACAAAAAGGGGACAATAATTCACAAAATGACTTAAACTCACTGTCTGGATTTATTATACTGTGCAAGGTGGTTGTAGAAATCATTTTCAACCCATAAGTAACCTTGAATAGGAATCTTAAAAAACCATTACACATACCTTCCTAAAATTTCTAGTAGCTCTGCAATCCCATTATGGTGTTCTGTTTCATATATAAATCTGCAAAAGAATTTTTTTTTCAAACAATACTTTTCCTCTTACATTGAAAGGAAGCACTAGGCATTCACAGCCAAACTACATGTAACTGCCTTGTGCAATGCTGATAAATTGCAAGTATGTGCACATCATGTTTGCGCATGGAATTGGATTTTTTATCATCAGTCAACTGGGAAGATTTGTTCATGGGCGAGAAGAGAACATTTACCTGTAAAATATATTATTTATTTGTTTCCTGATATAAGCTCTGAGTCCCAGAAACTTGCCATATATTCTGTGAATTACCGTCTTGAGGAAATCTCTTTCTCTTGGATCTTCACTATCAAACAGGTCAAGAAGCTGTATAACAACAAAGAGACCTACATTTTTGTAACAATCAACAAACTTTAACAACTGCAACAGCAAACAGCTGCCAACTAGCAAGTACCACTTTTGAGTGTCACAGGTATAGCCCCAGCCCTTCTAATGTACATTGTACTACAGTCTCTGGGATGCTAAGCAAGTGTCGTTCTATGCTCATTTAGAAGGAGGCATATACTGAAAACCCGCAAGTAAGAACCAGCATTTTCCCAAGTTAGCCTTAACAGGTTCTTACATATACGGTAATTAGCACAAATTTAGGCTATTTATGTTCTTAAATATTTATGTTCTAATTTTTTGCAGAAAAAAATACACTGAAGTTAAGAGTACACTTTATTTAGACGTATATTCAGCTTATTCCTTATATAAACTCTTCAAACAGGCTTCTACTGTACTCCCTGTCTTAGAAGTCTCAAGATTAAAACTATTAATTGTGGGATACTATTTTTTCCAATAAATATATTAAAACATAAGCCATGGTTAAGACTTGCTTGGCATTAGGCCTGGTTGACATTGCAACAATCATCAAAGTAACAACTGACAGATAATGGAGATACTAATCCATCAAAGCATAAGTGATGAAAAAATAGCAAAAGTTGCTGTGAGACACCTTAAGATACTGTGGTGTACAGACACATTCAATGCGGTCTACACATTCAATGCAAGCGTGAGAAAAAGCACCATTTGCAATCAAATTTTAAGAATTTTGTCACAGTAGGGTACTAATACTTTACGTGCTTCCTCTACATATATGTCGCTTGCTTTTATGCAAAATAATTTTGGCCATTGTGTCCTACAATGTACGACAACTTATCTATTTGTGACTTCCCAAAGCTCAAAACTAGAAATGCGTGTCTGCAACTCTTTATACTTCCAAAGATGCAACTTCTACTTCTGCGCGCTGCTGAATTTGTGAACTAGTCTTAATGGTGATGACATTTACACATTGAACCCACTCACTCCATTACCTGCATAACAAATTTTTGATCAACAAACTTCTTTGCCACAGCAGGCTGAAAATCCTGAGACTCCAAGAACCTCAAGAATAATTCATACACAATCTAAATGATAAATACAATTGAACATCAGTAATGCAGCCTCTAGGGTAAATTAACAGGGATCACAGAAATACACTATTTTATCTTAGTAAAATCCAACTAGTGGTCTATTATCAATGCTGCATTCTGATCGGTTGAGCTACTACTAAGCTATATGTTATAGCCCACTAGTAGTGAAAAGCCCTGGCTTTGAAACCCAAAACAATGGCGGCTGCATCACGTTTTGCTAACCAAAGTTGTTTTGTCTCAATATTTTGGATCAACTAGTTGCATTTTACTAAAACAATTATTATTCCTCTTGCCCTCATGGCCTCTGAGTCAATAGCCCATTCAGGCTTGAGGAATAATTGTTACATCCATCTCACAGGGCTGTAATTTAATAAAGGTCAGGGACTCGGGATTTCCAACAGCCACTATGAAGGTGGGTAAGGGTAAGGTCACACCAAAGTTCATCAGATCTCAACAGTAAAAATTTGCCAACCTGAAGGTGCGGCCAAGCTGCTTCCAAGTTTGGTTCATCTTCTTCTGGATCAAACTCAGCACCATTAGGATTGGATGGTGGAGGAAGAGTCCTGAAAGTGTTAACTGCAAACTGTTGAACAAAATAAATCCAGAGTTTCAGCAACACCTTGGCTTTATTACTGGTAGTAGTCAACTGTATGCCACTAAAAATCTGAAAGAGTGCATGCACTAAGGCTCTAAGATTCCTCATCTCATACCAAATTCTCATTTTGATTAACAAGGAAGTACAAGGTAAGTGGAAAGAGAATCTAGAATTTAATCAGGGCTTCATTCCTGGCAACCCTTCAATAGTCAACTTATGCGACAGGATGGGAAAGGAAAGAAGACAGCAAAACCTTAAGTATGAAAGAATTTTCCATAAAAATTCACCTTCCTTTTAAGAGGTCTTTTTTTTTAAAGTAAGGAACATAGTGATGTTAAGTGAAGATCGTGACAAAACATACAAGTAAGAGCCCTATCACATTTGTCACACACAAACATTTTGCAATGCTGTCCTCTTCTTTCAGCCATCCTGTTGTGTAAGCTCATAAATGTGGTAACACCACAACTAGAAATTAAATAAAATCTAGGAGAGACCCTGAAGCTAAATCATGTTCACTCTGAAGGAGACAATGATATTCAGTTTAAATACAGTGTACCTTAAACTGAATCAAAAGGTCTGTGAATCATTCCACCAGGGCTGTCATTAAGAGGCAGGGGCCAGGAATTTCCCCCGGCTACTCTTAGTGTGATCCCCGGCTACTTTCATAGGAAAATACAAGAAAAATAGAACCAAACAAAATCCCTAGCTGTTTGATTCCCCGCCTACTTGTTGTATTTACCCAACAACTTGAAATCTTAGTGACAACCCTGTTCCACCCAGCTAGTTACTAAGGAGAACAATGGTTTCTTACCATGTGGGCCACTTCAAGATAGATAGGATCTGTGACGACACCTCTGTTGTGTGTTATAAAGTCAACAATCTCATTAAGTGCAGCTCGTTTAACTTCCTTAAATTTGAGATCACTTAGTGGATCCATGGCAAAATCAAACAAAATGCAACACTGTTGAATTTTCTGGATGAAAAGCTGCTCTCTTTCATTTGGTGGTGCATCTGAAACAAGCAAGAAAAAGGTCATGCTTAGGTCAGTCTGTCTCTCATGGATCTTTTATTGACTTTGAATTTTGGATGATGGAGGCCACTCAGGTTTACAACTATCTGGTTCCATACATCTCCCCTTTCCTTGCATCTATACAAATTTTGGTAGAGTTCCATAACTAGCACTTCTCCTATGGTGTTCCCAATCACATGCAACTCCTTAGGCAGTATGTTTGCATGGTACTATTCAGGGCTACTGATATTTCGCGAGGTCGGGGAGCCGCAAAATTCAGGTAAATACGCGAAATCCTGCGAAATTCACAAAAACACGAAAAATACTACGGAATTCGGTAGAAATCTTGTCAAATACATGTCTATTTGAAACTTATTTCAGCCATAAGGGCTATTTACTTGCCGTAAACTTGCAAATTTATCTTGGAACTTCGTCACTGAAACATGCAAACAACGTCCCAAAACTACCAGGTGTAGATTATGTTGCAAAAAACTGGGCACTAGCCATGATGTTAAAGGCTTTGCCATTGGTTCATGTCTGGAGCGTATTGTCATTGAAAGAGCAAAATTAATGATGACCTCTGTTAGAAAAACGTTAAAAACGCTGGTCTGATCAGTGTAAAACCGATCGATTCCTAGCAAAATTTACCACAAAATCAGCCATTTTTTACCGATTGCTTTTTGGTGAAGTTTGCCCTGAGAACTCCCGCAAAATTCCCGCAAAATCGGCCGATTTTTCTGCGAATTTGTCCCTAAAAATCCTACGAAACTTGACTTTTTCTTCTGCGACCTATCAGAAGCCCTGATTATTATATTTATTTCTTAGGATTTTACAAAAAGAAATCCATTTTTTGCTGTGAATTAGGACATTCACATTAGGAGTAAAAAAGTTAGAAGCTTAGTAAGGCTTAATTAAACAGTAAGTTTTGTTGTGTAAAGCATTTTACTGGTAACGCAAAACATTTTATACCTAATACTAAATCTGCTGCTGGCTAGGCCACCAAGTCCATTTCACATATTAACAAAACACTAGACTTTTTAAGCCACATAGGGTTAATTGACATGATGCATAGTCTATCACCATTTCCTCCCAAATCTTTGAAATAAGCTGGACAAGCAAGGAGAAAATTTTGACAGCTATACTGCATTACACTGAAAGGCATGAAATAACTAGTCTAACTAGTCAGTGCTCAAGATATTATGAAAAAAAGTAACCAGAAGATTAAGGAATACTGTTTGGAAAGTAAACTACATGACACACCTGCTGATGTTTTCTTAAATCTGTATTTAAATGCAAATGAAGAATCAGCGAAAATTAAGGTTGCTGTCCACTTTAGTGGGCTAGCAGATGCACAAGCCAAACCAAAAATTTACAAAAGACATTATTTTAATGAATGTTTTGGTCAGAACATTTACTTAATGCATAAAATGTAGCAGGTAAAGGCTATTTTTTATCTTTGTCTTCTCAAACTCATTAATAATTCATAAAGATATTACAAGGGAAATTAATGTTTAATGAGTGTTTGGAAATCAGATGAAGAACTGCTCATTTTTGCATCCTTAATTTCTCCCCCTGAAATCATTTTGTTTGAGAAGTAATACCAAGCATTTGACACAGTGTTTCATCATCAGATGAAACACCTCGAAATTTCTCAACTCTCTTCTCCATGTTTCATCTGGTGATGAAACGCTGCCTCTCACGCTTGATATATTACGTGAACAATAAATTAAGAAATACCTAGGTTTACCAATAATGAAGGATATGTTGAAAACCTCTGACATTTGGCAATATTAGTAAAAAATTGTTGGAAGATGAAGTGTCCAGTCACTGTAATTTAGATCATTAACTTATTGAACTAACCAAATTAATGCAACTTATGATTTTGTCACAAAATTTTTATAAATGGGGATAGCATCGATGTGATGGACAGATCAAAAGGAATTTTGCAGGAACAGTAAAATCTGTTTACAAAATTGTCCAGTATATCAGTGGTTTATAAAAGTGCACCATATCTGTAAATGGTGGATAATCAACAATTACTATTAGCCAAAGACCAGTATTTGTAAAGACTGAAATAAATATCGTTTAGCATAATAATTTTAGAGTTGAGGGAGGAAGAAATCATAAGCAACTAGTAACAGTTCCTATAACCTTATTACCAGTTAAAGATTAGGGATTCAAATAAGATTTACTTGAACCATACTATGAAGAGAACAGAGGGCCTCAGAATAAAAATCTTTTCAGCTATTAAAACTAAAAGTGTTGTTTATCTTGCCTTGGTTTGGTGTAGAAATTTCACATAATCTTTCCGTCACCCTCAATCAAAATAACCTACCATGCCGCAGTTTTGGCATATAAGATCAAAGAAATATCATTTCCAACTATGGGGTAGCAATGTCAATAAATCTGATATATTAAAGTGTTTACTAGCTAGCCCAATGGTGTTTACTATATTATTTTATCTCCAAAAGCAACAGTATTCCTCAGCTCAATGACTGATTTGAGATATGGCTAAAAAGAGGGGCAACTAACTGTATAAACCATAATCATAACCAGCACTGATCAAATGGTAAACAAAGCCGCGAGAAAAACACTTTGCTCGCTGAACTCCCCGTAGCGAAATTGTAATAAACTGGTTATGAGCGCAGTGTGCGACCAACTTTCCCGACAACAGGCAAATTGGAAGAGCATTAACATGTTTTATCACAGCAACGTCGATTTTATTTGGTATACTCAAACGAGAAAATCGAAGTTGCTTGAAATCTCACCTTTCAACGGAGGTAATTTCACTATCTCTCGATTGTCACTAACGTTAAACGATGAAGAACTCTGTCGTTTCTCTTTCCTCATTATTGACGGGCCATTTGCATATTGCCTTAGTTTGACAGCTTGACTCGGTGGATGTGAAACGGGTTGAGATTTCGATTTTGCCTAAGGTGGGGAAGAAAAACCAAGTAAGCTTAACCTTCATTGTAATTCTGCGTCACAAAAATAAGTTCCATTGGAACCCATCCCAGTAAACAATATCCAATCGAAATTGTGATTCAATCGACTGAAACCGCGACGGATTTCTCTATTCTTACGCAAAATAATCATACGACTCACCTCGTCAGTCACAACATCTCCGTTTTCTTTATTTGCCTGTTTGGCACTTCCTCCAGATTTCGAAATCTGCTGTTTACACCCAAGAAATGCAAAAGAGTAAAATCGATCTGTCACTGCTGATAGAAATGTTTTGACTTTCGCCTTCGCGCACAAGTCACCGAAAGAATAAACGATTTTTTATGCGTCTGGACTACCATACCTTATCTTTTTTTCCTTTGTTTGGCATTCTCGTGATCCATTTACCCTACGTAAACGGAAAACATGACGGAAAAATCACAAAATTCGCAGTTACGAAGTTAAAAGCCTGTAAAGATTGAAATCATTCAGAGCGGCTGTCAGATGTACTTTGATTGGTTGATATTTTCTATGGCATTCAGTTAGTCACGTGGACTTTTCTTTGATGAAAGCGCGGGAATGTTATTTGTAACTTTCTTGTTGTTACTGATATTATGTTTGCTTATCTTTTCGTAAACAGGAAAGTTTTAGGATCTTTTAGTATCGGCCCGTGTCCCTGCCCTTCTTGCCCTTTAGAGTCACAAGTGTTTGGGAAGGCTTCAAGTGTTCCAAAAAATAAACTATAAAAACAACAGTTCCGAACAAGTCTATATCTTGTTGCACCTTAATAGTTTTTATTTTGCACACTCTTTTAAAAACCAACAACGGGAGTTGTCTATTCTTTTGATCAGTTGGCCACTTATCGACCAAGTTGACCTTGTTCCAACATTAAATAAGTTTTGTTTGTTGTATGCTCAGAAAACTGATTTCTACGGGGTGTTTGTTGTTCTTTCTTCGAATTTTTCAAAGTAGGGAACCCACACACATAAATTGTGTGACCGTTGTAATGTTTTAAATTTAGAGGAAACGAAGGAAATATCGAAAAGGTTCTTATTATCGTGAATATAATGCGATGAATCCTTATAGTTAAGATTAAAATCGACATCGCTCTTGCAGCTGAAAACAGCGAATTATTTTGTAGAGAATGTGTATAAAAAAGCGACACTTAGGTAAACGTCGAATGTAAAACTGTTCAAATAGCTATAATTCGCCGTTTTCAGCTGCAAGAACGACAAAGTTGTTACATTCAATTTCCAAGTTGAGTATAAGTGTAGTTCCGCGTTGTCACTGAGTCTTCGTGTTTCTGAGTGGAGTATTACGTAGAGCGAATAAAGAGACCACACCACACCGGCCATAGGTCAAGTGGAAACTATGAAACCGCCAGTCCAAAAATTCAAAAATTCGTCGTGGTCGCTTATGAGGGTTGGTAGTTTATGAGAGGTTCCAGTTATAGGGCTTTAACTGGGAACATTTTGGTGTAAGGGATAAGTGGTCACTTTATGGGAGGTGATCGCACATGGAGATTTGCACGAAAAAGATTAATTTGTATAGGTAATAGAATGATTTGTAGTGATATTTGGCATAAATACTATGCGTGATATTTCGAAATTGTTATACGTAATTTCACGAGCCGTTAGGTGAGTGAAATTTGAGACAATTTTGAAATATCACGAGTGGTATTTATGCCAAATATCACGTACAAATCATACTATTATTTGTTTATGCTACTACCCGCAAAAGGTTGTAATTTTCACATGTAGGTATTTCAAATTAAGCTGAAATACCACTGCTCTAAGCCAATCAAATTTCAGTAATTTTTCAAGTAGTAGTATAATGCCGGAAATTATCTCTGTTAGCATGGTAATTTTGTAATTTTATTTGTGAAATTCTAAATTAAGGCTGAAATTTTGCGCCAAAATTAAGGAGTAATTTGTCAATCATGATGTTAAGAATCTATCCTTGGAATTCTCAAAGCAAAACTCACCTTTTATTTCTTTTTATCAGTTTTATGACCATTTCTCACCAAGAGCCATAATGTTCTCACTTAACTTTAAAATGTTTCACAGCGGCGGACATCCCTTTCGACAAAAAAAGACTTTTTGACAAGAAATTCAGGAGCCGCTATGCGGAATATTAGCAACACCGTGAATGATATGCAACAGTTCAGTACATGTAGAATTTTCAACTAAATACAAAACAAGCTGTCAAGATCATCGTGGCAAAAAAAAACCCGTTTCGAGTCCTCGTCTTTTAATCGATATTATTGTACTCTAAATAACACTGCTAAGGGCCAAGAGATAATGCTCTTGAAAGGGCTTATTAGGCACCCTAAACTGCGTCGTAGACGTAACTCAACCCCGGTTAATAACGTCTGCGAAGCTAGAAGTCAACGGTTGCCGAAAGCTAGTCAAAGATTTTGCCTGTCTTATATCAGAGGATAAATTGTTCCACAGAACAGCCCTGCTTCAGGCTCTGATCTCTCACAATTGGAGGGGGATTGACAGGCCAATCAGTGGGCTTTCCCGCCCGATCTTATCATTAGCCCGTTCCAGGCTCCGAGACAGTCGGGTCCGTTAAATCTCGAAAGCGCGAAGTACAAAACTAAAACGGGAGGAAACTGGCTTATATTTCCGCGTTCCCTTTACTTGTGCGTCATCCCTATTATCTGCCGAAACCTGGAACAGGCTATCTTCTCATAAGTTACTCCATTTTGTTACCTGTCATTTATAAGTGGGACCTGGGATCGATCGATATTTACTTCCTGTGTCCAGATGACGAATTATCAATGACGCAATATTATTACGGTAACCTTTCCCCCTCCCGTAAACGAAAGACACGAAAGATCAAAGATATTCTTAGGACCAAGCAAGCCATGATTCAGGTAAAGTTTAATTTCGTTCAGAAAAAACTTAAAAACATGCGGAATATTTACGTTGCCAGGAGCGAGGCTTTGAGATAAGGGGGGGGCTCGGTCATCCAGACCCTTAGAAAAGGAGGGGGCGGTCTCCCAAAAAATTTTTTTCGACCCTTTGGGCCTCAGTTTGGTCTAAAAATAAGAGGGGGACCCTCCCCTGGATCCGCCACTGATTTAAGCTGTACCTCTTTTAGAAAAAGTGCACAAATTATGCTCGTTTTCCCAAATTATGCCAAAAAAATATGATAGCAAAAATCGACTAAGGCCTCTAGGCAGCGCTATATTTTTCAGTTTAGAAAGTGTCAGATCAGTAGCTGTGTTACATAGATGCAGATGGTAATTAGTCTGATTGACATTCCTTCTCACAAAAGAGTTCCTTGGGCCAGGGGCAGTGTGGTCATTCAATATTTTGTGCATTAAAACTGACTTTGCATAGCGCTGTCTATCATCAAGTGTTTGCCAAGAAAGAGAGTCAAAAGAGGGTGTAAAAAAAGTAACAGCAAAGATAATTGAGAAATCAATACTACCAAACAACTGCATTCTCAATTATTGAAAAGCAACATATATGAGGCATAATTGTTTGCTAGTAATATTTCACATCTAAGAAGCACATAGTAAAAGACATAACTACCAAAAATTTGCTGTGGATGAAAAATTCAAATAAATGCAAGATATGTTATGAAGAAACATTAATTTTGTTCATCAAAGTGCCAGCAAGAGAAGGTTTGTAGAAAATTTATTCATCAAGCAAGTTTTCCTCAGAGAAAACTTAGTATACTGTGTGAGAGAAAAAAGTATGAGAGAACCATGGACCATCAGCTGGTTAACATTTTAAGGCCAATACTTGGCTCTGAGGCTTAAGGAGGAAAAATGGCAAAAGAAATGAATGAGAATTTCTCTGCAATTTCTTCTATGTTTTTTCCCAAAGCCTCACAGCCAGGTATTTATTTCAAAATATTATAATTGTTAGGTTGAGTCATACCTGAGGATGATACATGCTGAGTGCCTTAACTTTGTGTAGTGGCATCAGAACTTTCATGAGAAAGTGTTTATGTTCCTCTTTGAGAGGCAGTGCAAAGCCATTGATTATGCTGCAAGAAAACAATATATAGAGAGGATATTACATGGTGGCGCGAAGATAAGAATTTTATTTTCTAGTAGGAAAACAATAATTTACAAACGAGCATAGCGAGTGAGTAAAATATTGTTTTTGCCACAAGAAAACAAAATTCATATCTTCGAGCCGCCATGTAATGTTCTTTTTATTATATAGACAAAATGACATCAATAAAATATAGAGGGAAATTACCAAAATTACATCATCGATAAACTCACGTGTTAGATTATGGAAAATAAACCACTCGGGTCCCAGATGTAGTTTTTATGAATTTTACGAGTGGTATATTTTCCAGTAAAACACTCGTGTCTATATAATAAATATGTTTTAATGTTGTTACAATATGCAAAATTTATTTAAATTTAGTAGTCTTTTTTGAATCTTACATGTTATGATATATACCACATTTCCTCGAATAACAGCTGGGGGCGATTATCATTATTTTTGCACAAAAAGGGGAAGATAATTCACAAAATGACTTAAACTCACTGTCTAGATTTACTATGCTGTGCAAGGTGGTTGTAGAAATCATTTTCAACCCATAAGTAACCTTGAATAGGAATTTTAAAAAACCATTACACATACCTTCCTAAAATTTCTAGTAGCTCTGCAATCCCATTATGGTGTTCTGTTTCATATATAAATCTGCAAAAGAATTTTTCAAACAATATTTTTCCTCTTACATTGAAAGGAAGCACTAAGCATTCACAGCCAAACTACATGTACCTGCCTGTGTGCAATGCTGATAAATGTATGTGCATATCATGTTTGCGCATGGAATTGGATTTTTTATCATCAGTCAACTGGTAAGATTTGTACATGGGCGAGAAGAGAACATTTACCTGTAAAATATATTATTTATTTGTTTCCTGATATAAGCTCTGAGTCCCAGAAACTTGCCATATATTCTGTGAATTACTGTCTTGAGGAAATCTCTTTCTCTTGGATCTTCACTATCAAACAGGTCAAGAAGCTGTACAACAACAAAGAGACCTACGTTTTTGTAACAATCAACAAACTTTAACAACTGCAACGGCAAAGAACCAGCGTTTTCCCAAGTTAGCCTTAACAGGTTCTTACATATATGGTAATTAGTACAAATTTAGGCTATTTATGTTCTTAAATAATTATGTTCTAATTTTTTGCAGAAGAAAATACACTGATGAAGTTAAGATTACACTTTATTTAGACGTATGTTCAACTTATTCCTTATATAAACTCTGCAAACAGGCTTCTACTGTACTCCCTGTCTTATAAGTCTCAAGATTATAACTATTAATTGTGGGATACTATTTTTTCCAATAAATATATTAAAACATAAGCCATGGTTAAGACATGCTTGGCATTAGGCCTGGTTGACATTGCAACAATCATCAAAGTAACAACTGACAGATAATGGAGATACTAATCCATCAAAGCATAAGTGTTGAAAAAATAGTGAAAGTTGCTGTGAGCCACCTTAAGATTCTGTGGTGTACAGACACATTCAATGCGGTCTACACATTCAATGCAAGCGTGAGAAAAAGCACCATTTGCAATTAAATTTTAAGAATTTTGTCAAAAAAGGGTACTAATACTTTACTTGCTTCCTCTACATATATGTTGCTTGCTTTTATGCAAAATAATTTCAGCCATTGTGTCCAACAATGTATGACAACTTATCTATTTGTGACTTCTCAAAGCTCAAAACAAGAAATGCATGTCTGCAACTCTTTATACTTCCAAAGATGCAACTTCTACTGCTGAATTTGTGAACTAGTCTTAATGGTGATGACATTTACACATTTAACCCACTCACTGTATTACCTGCATAACAAATTTTTGATCAACAAACTTCTTTGCCACAGCAGGCTGAAAATCCTGAGACTCCAAGAACCTCAAGAATAATTCATACACAATCTAAATGATAAATACAATATATCATTAAACATCAGTAATGTAGCCTCTAGGGCAATACACAGGGATCACAGAAACATGCTATTTTATCTTAGTAAAATCCAACTCGTGGTCTATTATCAATGCTGCATTCTGATTGGTTGAGCTACTACTAGGCTATATGTTATAGCCCACGAGTAGTGAAAAGCCCTGGCTTTGAAACCCAAAACAATGGCCGCTGAATTGTGTTTTGCTAACTTAAGTTGTTTTGTCTCGATGTTTTTGACCAACTAGTTGCATTTTACTAAAACAATATTATTATTCCTCTCGCCCTCATGGCCTCTGAGTCAATAGCCCATTCAGGCTTGAGGAATAATTGTTAAATCCATCTTACAGGGCTGTAATTTATAAAGGTCGGGGACTTGGGATTTCCAACAGCCACTATGAAGGTGACCCTCAGCTATTCTAATGGGAAAATAGAGAGAACCAAAAGAAATCCTCAGCTGTTTGATTCCCTGCCAACAATTTGAAATCTTAGTAACAACCCTCTGTCAATGCAGAAAATTAATAATTTTAAATAAAGCAAACACAACAATTAAAGGCTCTGGAGAACAACACAGCAGCTAAATGGTACTATGAGGACTGTCAAGGGAACAGCTGCCAACACTAACAATACAAAGGACCCAAATCTTATAACAATGAGAAAGATTCAAAATGCATGAATCAACAGCAGCTGTGCTACTCATAGCCACACACTGCAATAGCTAAATCATCGCCAACAGCAAATGAAGACCAGCAATAAGCAGTCAAAACGCTGTTATCAATAACAAAGTGATTCTTCTAAGACAAACAATAGGGGAGCCCTATCACTGGAGCTGTTTTGATTGCTAGGACAGGGCTCGAAATTAAAAAAATTCTCAGGTCGCCTTTTGGCAACCAACCTGAGAAATGTAGTCGCCAAATGTAAAATTTATAGTCTCCAGTTTGTATAATGTAAATGATGCAGCTCATAGTATGGCACGATCCATCAGATTTGATTGTTTGAAAATATCGCAGACAGAGGACGGTATAAATTTGGAGGTAAACTGGCTTTGTTTACGGTATGTGATTTGGCACATTTTTTTTATGACAAAAGCAAACCAAGGTAAGATGAAATGTTTGTTTTAACTTTACTCTTTTAATTTAAATCTAAACCAAAGAGAAATCTGGTCGCCAAAGTGGTGACTAAGCCAGTGAATTTTTAGTTGCCAAGGAGAAAATGTTAGTTACATTGATGACCATATCAGTCGCAATTTCAAGCCCTGTAGGAGAGGGTAAGGTCACCCCAAAGTTCATCAGATATCAAGAATAAAAATTTTCCAACCTGAAGGTGCGGCCAAGCTGCTTCTAAGTTTGGTTCATCTTCTTCTGGATCAAACTCAGCACCATTAGGATTGGATGGTGGAGGAAGAGTCCTGAAAGTGTTAACTGCAAACTGTTGAACAAAATAAATCCACAGTTTCAGCAACACCTTGGCTTTATTACTGGTAGTAGTCAACTGTATGCCACTAAAAATCTGAAAGAGTGCATGCACTAAGGCTCTAAGCCTCCTCATCTCATACCAAATTCTCATTTTAATTAACAAGGAAGTACAAGGTAAGAGGAAAGAGAATCTAGAATTTAATCAGGGCTTCATTCCTGGCAACCCTTCAATAGTCAACTTATGCGACAGGATGGGAAAGGAAAGAAGACAGCAAAACCTTAAGTATGAAAGAATTTTCCATAAAAATTCACCTTCCTTTTAAGAGGTCTTTTTTTTAAAGTCAGGAACATAGTGATGTTAAGTGAAGATCATGACAAAACATACAAGTAAGAGCCCTGTCAGATTTGTCACACACAAACATTTTGCAATGCTGTCCCCTTTTTTCAGCCATCCTGTTGTGTAAGCTCATAAATGTGGTAACACCACTACTAGAAATTAAATAAAATCTAGGAGAGACCCTGAGGCTAAATCATGTTCACTCTGAAGGAGACAACGATAGTCAGTTTAAATACAGTGTACCTTAAATTGAATCAAAAGGTCTGTGAATCATTCCACCAGGGCTGTCATTAAGAGGCGGGGGCAGGAGATTTCCCCCGGCTACTTTCATAGGAAAATAGAAGAAAAATAGAACCAAACGAAATCCCTAGCTGTTTGATTCCCTGCCTACTTGTTGTATTTACCCGGCAACTTGAAATCTTAGGGACAACCCTGTTGCACCCAGCTAGTTACTAAGGAGAATGATGGTTTCTTACCATGTGGGCCACTTCAAGATAGATAGGATCTGTGACGACACCTCTGTTGTGTGTTATAAAGTCAACAATCTCATTAAGTGCAGCTCGTTTAACTTCCTTAAATTTGAGATCACTTAGTGGATCCATGGCAAAATCAAACAAAATGCAACACTGTTGAATTTTCTGGATGAAAAGCTGCTCTCTTTCGTTTGGTGGTGCATCTGAAACAAGCAAGAAAAAGGTCATGCTTAGGTCAGTCTGACTCTCATGGATCTTTTATTGACTTTGAATTTCGGTTGATGGAGGCCACTCAGGTTTACAAATATCTGGTTCCATACATCTCCCCTTTCCTTGCATCTATACGGATTTTGGTAGGGTTCCATAACTAGCACTTCTCCTATGGTGTTCCCAATCACATGCAACCCCTTAGGCAGAACATTTGCATGGTACTATTCAGGGCTACTGATATTTCGCGCGGTCGCGGAGCCACAAAATTCAGGTAAATCCACAAAAAACCCGCGAAATTCACAAAAACAAGAAAAATACGGCAAAATTCGGTAGAAATCTTGTCAAATACATGTCTGTACAAAAAACTTAGCTGAAACTTATTTCAGCTATAGGGGCTATTTACTTGCCGTAAACTTGCAAATTTATCTTGGAACTTCGTCACTGAAACATGCAAACAACATCCCAAAACTACCAGGCGTAGATTATGTTGCGAAAAACTGGGCACTAGCCATGATGTTAAAGGCTTTGCCATTGGTTAATTTCTGGAGCGTATTGTTATTGAAAGAGCAAATGATGACCTCTGTTAGAAAAACGTTAAAAACGCTGGTCTGATCAGTGCAAAACCGATCGATTCCTAGCAGAATTTGCCACAAAATCAGCCGTTTTATACCAATTGCTTTTTGATGAAGTTTGCCCCAAAAACTCCAGCGAAATTCCTGCGAAATCGGCCGATTTTTCCGCGAGTTTGTCCCTAAAAATCCCGCGAAATTTGACTTTTTCTTCTGCAACCTATCAGAAGCCCTGACTATTATATTTATTTCTTAGGATTTTACAAAGAGAAATCCATTTTTTGCTGTGAAATAGGACATTCACATTAGGAGTGAAAAACTTAGAAGCTTAGTAGAGCTTAATTAAACAGTAAATTTTGTTGTGCAAAGCATTTTACTGGTAATGGAAAACATTTTATATCTTATACAAAATCTACTGCTGGCTAGGTCACCAATTCCATCTCACATATTAACAAAACTCTAGACTTTTTAAGCCACATAGGGTTAATTGACATAATGCATAGTCTATTACCATTTCCTCCCAAATCTTTGAAATAAGCTGGACAAGCAAGGAGAAAATTTTGACAGCTATACTGCATGACAATGAAAGGCATGAAATAACTGGTCTTTTAATGCTCAAGATATTATGACAAAAAGTAACCAGAAGATTAAGGAATACCATTTGGAAAGTAAACTACATGACACACCTGCTGACTTTTTCTTAATCTGTATTTAAATGCAAATGAAGAATCAGCGAAAATTAAGGTTGCTGTCCACTTTATTGGGGTAGCTGATGCACACGCCACACCAAAAATTTACAAAAGACATTATTTTAATGAGTGTTTTGGTCAGAACATTTACTTAATGCATAAACTGTAGCAGGTAAAGGCTATTTTTTATCTTTGTCTTCTCAAATTCATTAATAATTCAAAAAGATATTACAAGGGAAATTAATGTTTAATGAGTGTTTGGAAATTAGATCAAGAACTACTCATTTTTGCATCCCTAATTTCTCCTCCTAAAATCATTTTGTTTGAGAAGTAATATCAAGCATTTGACACAGTGTTTCATCGTCAGAAGACACACCTCGAAATTCGTCAAAAATACTCTGCTGGGTGTCGTATTTTCAACTCTCTTCTCAGTCTTTCATCTGGTGATGAAATACTGCGTCTCATGCTTGATATATTACATGAACAATTAAGAAATCACTAGGTTCACCAGCCATGAAAGAAATGTTAAAAATGGCTGACATTTGGCAATATTAGTAAAAAATTGTTGGAAGATGAAGTCTCCAGTCACTGTAATTTGGATCATTAACTTATTGAACCAATCAAATTAATGCAACTTATGATTTTGTCACAAAATTTTTATAAATGGGGGTAGCATCGATGTGATGGACAGATCAAAAGGAATTTTGCAGGAACAGTAAAATCTGTGTACAAAATTGTCCAGTATATCAGTGGTTTACAAAAGCGCCCCATATCTGTAAATGGTGGATAATCAACAATTACTATTAGCCGAAGGCCAGTATTTGTAAAGACTGAAATAAATATTGTTTAGCATAATAATTTTAGGGTTGGGGGAGGAAAAAATCATAAGCAACTAGTAACAGTTCCTGTAACCTTATTACCAGTTAAAGATTAGGGATTCAAATAAGATTTACTTGAACCATACTATGAAGAGAACAGAGGGCCTCAGAATAAAAATCTTTTCAGCTATTAAAACTGAAAGTGTTGTTTATCTTGCCTTGGTTTGGTGTAGAAATTTCACATAATCTTTCCGTCACCCTCAATCAAAATAACCTACCATGTCGCAGTTTTGGCATATAAGATCAAAGAAATATCATTTCCAACTATGGGGTAGCAATGTCAATAAATCTGATATATTAAAGTGTTTACTAGCTAGCCCAATGGTGTTTACTATATTATTTTATCTCCAAAAGCAACAGTATTCCACAGCTCAATGACTGATTTGAGATATGGCTAAAAAGAGGGGCAACTACCTGTATAAACCATAATCATAACCAGCACTGAGCAAATGGTAAACAAAGCCGCGAGAAAAACACTTTGCTCGCTGAACTCCCCGTAGCGAAATTGTAATAAACTGGTTATGAGCGCAGTGTGCGACCAACTTTCCCGANATAAGATTTACTTGAACCATACTATGAAGAGAACAGAGGGCCTCAGAATAAAAATCTTTTCAGCTATTAAAACTGAAAGTGTTGTTTATCTTGCCTTGGTTTGGTGTAGAAATTTCACATAATCTTTCCGTCACCCTCAATCAAAATAACCTACCATGTCGCAGTTTTGGCATATAAGATCAAAGAAATATCATTTCCAACTATGGGGTAGCAATGTCAATAAATCTGATATATTAAAGTGTTTACTAGCTAGCCCAATGGTGTTTACTATATTATTTTATCTCCAAAAGCAACAGTATTCCACAGCTCAATGACTGATTTGAGATATGGCTAAAAAGAGGGGCAACTACCTGTATAAACCATAATCATAACCAGCACTGAGCAAATGGTAAACAAAGCCGCGAGAAAAACACTTTGCTCGCTGAACTCCCCGTAGCGAAATTGTAATAAACTGGTTATGAGCGCAGTGTGCGACCAACTTTCCCGACAACAGGCAAATTGGAAGAGCATTAACATGTTTTATCACAGCAACGTCGATTTTATTTGGTATACTCAAACGAGAAAATCGAAGTTGCTTGAAATCTCACCTTTCAACGGAGGTAATTTCACTATCTCTCGATTGTCACTAACGTTAAACGATGAAGAACTCTGTCGTTTCTCTTTCCTCATTATTGACGGGCCATTTGCATATTGCCTTAGTTTGACAGCTTGACTCGGTGGATGTGAAACGGGTTGAGATTTCGATTTTGCCTAAGGTGGGGAAGAAAAACCAAGTAAGCTTAACCTTCATTGTAATTCTGCGTCACAAAAATAAGTTCCATTGGAACCCATCCCAGTAAACAATATCCAATCGAAATTGTGATTCAATCGACTGAAACCGCGACGGATTTCTCTATTCTTACGCAAAATAATCATACGACTCACCTCGTCAGTCACAACATCTCCGTTTTCTTTATTTGCCTGTTTGGCACTTCCTCCAGATTTCGAAATCTGCTGTTTACACCCAAGAAATGCAAAAGAGTAAAATCGATCTGTCACTGCTGATAGAAATGTTTTGACTTTCGCCTTCGCGCACAAGTTACCGAAAGAATAAACGATTTTTTATGCGTCTGGACTACCATACCTTATCTTTTTTTCCTTTGTTTGGCATTCTCGTGATCCATTTACCCTACGTAAACGGAAAACATGACGGAAAAATCACAAAATTCGCAGTTACGAAGTTAAAAGCCTGTAAAGATTGAAATCATTCAGAGCGGCTGTCAGATGTACTTTGATTGGTTGATATTTTCTATGGCATTCAGTTAGTCACGTGGACTTTTCTTTGATGAAAGCGCGGGAATGTTATTTGTAACTTTCTTGTTGTTACTGATATTATGTTTGCTTATCTTTTCTTAAACAGGAAAGTTTTAGGATCTTTTAGTATCGGCCCGTGTCCCTGCCCTTCTTGCCCTTTAGAGTCACAAGTGTTTGGGAAGGCTTCAAGTGTTCCAAAAAATAAACTATAAAAACAACAGTTCCGAACAAGTCTATATCTTGTTGCACCTTAATAGTTTTTATTTTGCACACTCTTTTAAAAACCAACAACGGGAGTTGTCTATTCTTTTGATCAGTTGGCCACTTATCGACCAAGTTGACCTTGTTCCAACATTAAATAAGTTTTGTTTGTTGTATGCTCAGAAAACTGATTTCTACGGGGTGTTTGTTGTTCTTTCTTCGAATTTTTCAAAGTAGGGAACCCACACACATAAATTGTGTGACCGTTGTAATGTTTTAAATTTAGAGGAAACGAAGGAAATATCGAAAAGGTTCTTATTATCGTGAATATAATGCGATGAATCCTTATAGTTAAGATTAAAATCGACATCGCTCTTGCAGCTGAAAACAGCGAATTATTTTGTAGAGAATGTGTATAAAAAAGCGACACTTAGGTAAACGTCGAATGTAAAACTGTTCAAATAGCTATAATTCGCCGTTTTCAGCTGCAAGAACGACAAAGTTGTTACATTCAATTTCCAAGTTGAGTATAAGTGTAGTTCCGTGTTGTCACTGAGTCTTCGTGTTTCTGAGTGGAGTATTACGTAGAGCGAATAAAGAGACCACACCACACCGGCCATAGGTCAAGTGGAAACTATGAAACCGCCAGTCCAAAAATTCAAAAATTCGTCGTGGTCGCTTATGAGGGTTGGTAGTTTATGAGAGGTTCCAGTTATAGGGCTTTAACTGGGAACATTTTGGTGTAAGGGATAAGTGGTCACTTTATGGGAGGTGATCGCACATGGAGATTTGCACGAAAAAGATTAATTTGTATAGGTAATAGAATGATTTGTAGTGATATTTGGCATAAATACTATGCGTGATATTTCGAAATTGTTATACGTAATTTCACGAGCCGTTAGGTGAGTGAAATTTGAGACAATTTTGAAATATCACGAGTGGTATTTATGCCAAATATCACGTACAAATCATACTATTATTTGTTTATGCTACTACCCGCAAAAGGTTGTAATTTTCACATGTAGGTATTTCAAATTAAGCTGAAATACCACTGCTCTAAGCCAATCAAATTTCAGTAATTTTTCAAGTAGTAGTATAATGCCGGAAATTATCTCTGTTAGCATGGTAATTTTGTAATTTTATTTGTGAAATTCTAAATTAAGGCTGAAATTTTGCGCCAAAATTAAGGAGTAATTTGTCAATCATGATGTTAAGAATCTATCCTTGGAATTCTCAAAGCAAAACTCACCTTTTATTTCTTTTTATCAGTTTTATGACCATTTCTCACCAAGAGCCATAATGTTCTCACTTAACTTTAAAATGTTTCACAGCGGCGGACATCCCTTTCGACAAAAAAAGACTTTTTGACAAGAAATTCAGGAGCCGCTATGCGGAATATTAGCAACACCGTGAATGATATGCAACAGTTCAGTACATGTAGAATTTTCAACTAAATACAAAACAAGCTGTCAAGATCATCGTGGCAAAAAAAAACCCGTTTCGAGTCCTCGTCTTTTAATCGATATTATTGTACTCTAAATAACACTGCTAAGGGCCAAGAGATAATGCTCTTGAAAGGGCTTATTAGGCACCCTAAACTGCGTCGTAGACGTAACTCAACCCCGGTTAATAACGTCTGCGAAGCTAGAAGTCAACGGTTGCCGAAAGCTAGTCAAAGATTTTGCCTGTCTTATATCAGAGGATAAATTGTTCCACAGAACAGCCCTGCTTCAGGCTCTGATCTCTCACAATTGGAGGGGGATTGACAGGCCAATCAGTGGGCTTTCCCGCCCGATCTTATCATTAGCCCGTTCCAGGCTCCGAGACAGTCGGGTCCGTTAAATCTCGAAAGCGCGAAGTACAAAACTAAAACGGGAGGAAACTGGCTTATATTTCCGCGTTCCCTTTACTTGTGCGTCATCCCTATTATCTGCCGAAACCTGGAACAGGCTATCTTCTCATAAGTTACTCCATTTTGTTACCTGTCATTTATAAGTGGGACCTGGGATCGATCGATATTTACTTCCTGTGTCCAGATGACGAATTATCAATGACGCAATATTATTACGGTAACCTTTCCCCCTCCCGTAAACGAAAGACACGAAAGATCAAAGATATTCTTAGGACCAAGCAAGCCATGATTCAGGTAAAGTTTAATTTCGTTCAGAAAAAACTTAAAAACATGCGGAATATTTACGTTGCCAGGAGCGAGGCTTTGAGATAAGGGGGGGGCTCGGTCATCCAGACCCTTAGAAAAGGAGGGGGCGGTCTCCCAAAAAATTTTTTTCGACCCTTTGGGCCTCAGTTTGGTCTAAAAATAAGAGGGGGACCCTCCCCTGGATCCGCCACTGATTTAAGCTGTACCTCTTTTAGAAAAAGTGCACAAATTATGCTCGTTTTCCCAAATTATGCCAAAAAAATATGATAGCAAAAATCGACTAAGGCCTCTAGGCAGCGCTATAGCGGGAACAATCACGAGAAAGCTTCAAAAACGCGAATGCACATAACCAAGAAGGCTCAATGCGGAAAACGAAGCTTTTCTTTTTTCGCCATCCCTATGAGCCCTTGTTCCCAGCGCGACTACAGCAGACAAGCATACCGTTGCATATCGTCGCTCGGGTGCATTATGTCAAATTTTGTGTTCATGGGGGCGCTTTACTGAACACTTAACGAGGCGGGGTGCTCGGTTTAAGGGTGGCCTGTTCCAGGCTCTCAGATAGTGGGGAAGGCGAGAAAGAGTGGGGAAGACGCGAAAGTGTAATGCGCGCGAAAATAGGGGCGGGGCGGGAAAGTTTCCTTCCGTTTTTTTTTTTTTCGTGTTCGCGCTTTCTCAATTCCGCGGTCTCGGAGCCTGGAACAGGCTACGCTTAAAGTAATCGAAGGGGGAGCTTAATCTAGAAATGGGGTGTTTCTTGATGTTACAGAACCCAGGGTTGGCTCGTTATTGCGGTGAAGCCTGGGTATTTTCTGAAAGGGCACTTTCAGTTCTATCAAATGCGATAATTACTTGGGCTTGCTTCTGCTCTACTGAAAACATAACAGCGGCATAGACCGACAGTTCATATATTTGTAACGCTACTTTTGTAATAAAAATGCTTCAACCACCGAAAAATATAAACCCCTCGATGGTCTTTCAGCTAATAGCGATACCTAAGCTGACGTCACCTATTGATAATGAGCCAACTAGAAGCGCATTGGTTCTGTTTCACTCGCTTCAAATTTGAATAACAAAAACAATGTTTGTAAACAATGATCTCTTCTCAGATAACACTGAACCTCAGTAGTGATGCAAATCATGGCTGTATAAGCACGAACAAAACAACGCCTGGTGTTCTTCCTTGCTTCTAGCCATACTTGTTAAGACGTGCTCAACATGAGCATGAGAAGAAATTTAAAAAGCGAAAGCAAGTTTATACTTCCGCGCATATCACTTCATGTCCCTTTTTATCGCAAGGCCATTCTCGTCCCCAGATTCCGTCGTTTCTTTTGATCAGGTGGTCCGTTACAAATTAAGCCGAGTGGCTCTGGGGACGAGAACGATCGCAAGCTGCAAGCGAGAACGTATTATTAATGTGTGGTTATTTTTGCGCTGCTAATGAGGGCCAGGCTAAGGATTTTATTAAAAGCCTTCCTTCCTTAACCACTAAAACATCGAAATGGATGCAAAAAAAGAGGAGTGTCGGAGTTGTTTACTGATTAAGATGCACTAAAACTCCATGCGCAAACAAATAAATTAACATTACAGAGGCTGAAATTTGACCAATTGCTAAAGCACCTGACTTATTTAAAAACCATTTCAACATGTCAAATGCAGCAAACGCATATTCAAAAACTACTTTTGTTCAAAAAACGCTGCTACAGACCCAAGCGTGCTTCAAGGGCCAGTAGAAACACACGGTAAGTACATAAACTTACTCCGTGATTTCAAGTCAACGTGTATAATAAAATGAAGATCTCTAATTATTCATGTAATATACAGTTATAGGTTGTCAATGTTAAGTGTGATTGTGTCGCCGGCGAGCTTGGCGATGAAAACTGAATTTAGTTTAGGAATCACCACATCAGAAATAGCTGCTTTTGTCAAAAGTAAGCATCTCAGTGTTATATTAATAGCCAAGAGATAGCTCGTTCTCTCTTGTAATAGCCTATTCCGGTTTCTAACTATTGATCTAATATATAAGACCACTTTCTGTGATATAGAAGAGTCCAGGTTGTTATTGTATCTGCACATCTAAAGTGGGTTAAAGAAAGCCACAGCAAAGGTTTTTAGCTGATCTCGAGAAAAGACGTTTCCATAGTGGGATATAGAACGTGGAATTATTCCGTTTCCAAGAAACTTTCACCCCGATGAAGCATTTTCAAGCTCATTAACTATGTTTTTGCAAGCGCGAAATCCAGGAAATCGATATCTTTGATAACAAGACTCGTCCTAGTTTTGACGAGGACTGTTTTAAACGAAACTGAGGCTGATTGTTGGCAGAACCTAAACTTTAAAAAATTTAAAGGCAATAATTGTTCCTTCAAATATTTATTTTACAGAAAAAAAGTCGTTCGGTGCCCGTTTTGAATGGACATTCAATGACCTACTAAACATACATTGTATATAAAAAAAGACAGAATTAAACTAGCGGCATTTTCTCCTGCAATCTATTGTAA